TCATATCCTGTGCCCATTTTTCTATTGGATTATTTACCTTTATCTTGTTGTGGTGCTCAAGTATTTCATAAATTCTGGATATAAGTCCCTTATCTGATAGGATATTACCGAATACTTTTTCCCATGGAACTCATTCTTTAAACCTCATTTCGTGTCCTTCTACTAGTTCTAAGTGCTGTGAAATTTTACCCCATTTAAAACTCCTGAGAAATTAATCACTGCACAATCCAATTTTCAAATCCTGCCACTTAGCTTCAAATGGATGGTCGAAAAAATAATACCAGGCAAACAAAAACTTGACCAGAAATAAGCCAAGCATGTTTCTTTACAGCTTTATCTCACCAGTAAAAAGAGCAGTGATTCTGATTTATTTAAATTTTTCTTTTATATTTATTTGCTTAAAAAGTTTATATACATTGTATTTCACACTATTCTTCATGTTGTGTTTCATACAATCATCCCATTCATTATGTTTTATAAGATCAATTAATCACCTATTTTCAGGTCCCTGTCTGGATTCTTCCCATTTCCTTCTCCCCGTCCCTCCACCTACCAAATTCTGCAACCCTGTGGTTTCGCCCCTACCCATCCTCACCCCTCTGCTCCCACCCTTACCCCCCTGGGTCCCCATAAATGTTTTACTAGTTATCTTTCTACTTTTACAGTAATGATCTTAAGCAGTATTTGTCCTTATGAGACTATTTACTCAGCTCAGTGCTTTCCAGTATCTCCCAAATTACATAGTATTTTTCAAAATCATTGCTCCTGGATATTCCCATAGTATTCCATTGTGTAGAATTACCACAATTTCTCAACGATTCAGTGCGATGCAAATCAAAACCACAATTGGATAACATCTCATGCCAGTAGCAGTGGCACAGTTTAGCAGGGCAGCATGCAATAAATGTTGGAGAGGTGACAACTATAACTCTTTACGGGAGTGTAAAATGGCACAACCACTCCGGAAGGCAATTTGGCATTTCCTCAAATAGTTCAACTCCGTATCACCCAGCTATTCCACTACCCCAAAGAAATTAGAACTGAAACACAAACGGAAGCCTGTACACCAATGTTTACAGCAGTGTTATTCACCATAGCAAGAACATGGAAACAGCCCAAATGTCCAACCACAACTCTTAACTCCTGCCAGCCTGTGCAGAGAATGCTGTGCTAGGCCTGGGCCTCCACTTAACAGACTGCAGTCCTCCAATGGCCTTCTAGACTTGCACACAAGAACTGGCACGTGAGAGCCAAAAGGACATCATGAGGAACTTTCTAGAAAACTTTGTAGAACAGTTTCTTAGCTCATGTCAGAATTAAAAAACAGCAGCTTTTCCTCAGCTACAAACTCCAATTAGATGATGCTAAATAATTAAACAGTATAGCAGAGATCCAATCTGATGAAAGAAGACAGTATTTCCAATTAGCACCTCCTTTGGTAAATGTCATAGCTATACACGGCTTCAAATTCCTGACAAAACTTAGAAATTCAGAGATTGGTGCCTGTAAAGAAACAAAGCCAGGATTTACCTCTCCATAGGACATTTTCAGAGTTTTATTAAAAGTAGTAAAATGTTACTTTAATGATTAGGCAGCTGTAGCAAGAATGTATTTGTCAGGCAGCCTCAGCACACCACTGAACTTTTACCACAGAAGGAGGCAGTGGAAGAGGGGCATGCCCTGCCACAGAGATGGACAGGACAGGATAAAGGAATCATGGCAGCTCAGCCCTTTGTAATGTTACAACAGGGAAGCATTTCTGTTGTAAAAGCTTGAATTATTCAGGAAGCATCAAAAGAAGATGGAAGGAATACAGTGTCACTGTACCAGAAAGAACTGGTTGACGTAAAACCTTTTCAGGAAGTAGCATACGATCCAGTAGTAATGAAGGATGACATTCA